ATAAATTTACAGGTGATCATGTATTATATTACATTATATTTCTGGAAAATTTAAGGGATAGTTATATAATAATTTTGGACGATCTCAGATGGTCAGATACTTATGACCGCTATTGTATAGCCTAGGTTAGAGTTTTGTACATTACATAAAAGGGGTCGTAATAAATACACCACAGAAGTAGTAATATAATTTTATCTTATCAATATCTAAGAAAACCTTATATGTATCTGTAATCTTATAAGAGATAAAAACTTGGTTTTTCCTATGCACAAACATATTTAGGATGGAGAAAATAAATTCTTTAGAAAGCTTTAAGCATTCTAGTGCTCTAATTATCATAAAAATAAGATCATAATATAATGAAGAAGATATATAAGTTTGGCTAAAAATTTAGATCGTTCTAAGATTTTGTCATGTAACAGGTCACATATATAGAATTAAACTATGTTGTTGAAGAGGAAGATACATAATCTTTCTTAAATTTAATGAAATTAGCATCTGAATCGTATGTGATTATAGCTTATTACTAGAAGTTCTCTATTTTCATGTTGAATCTAACGATCTTGCTAAATCAGAAGAAGATCTTTTTGATACATAATTCTGTAGTATCTAATAGTATTTCAGTAACTTTGATTGATTGTTGTGAAACAAATAGATATTTTGATACAATTTTGAGGGGTAAAATGTGTGATTTTCTAAATTAGACAAGATAATTTTGCAAAACGCGTTCCTTTTATCCTTATCAGAAAATGTTACTTTTAAGATTTCTTTGATTGGTTCTCAAGATATTTGGCAAGCTTAATGCACAAAAATGAGTCAAACTGATTGAAAATGAGGTTAGTGATGTCAAGGATTTTTGTTTAAGAGAATTTTTCAGAGTAGTCGTCCGTCAGAAAAAATGCGAAAAAATTCATTTTTTAGTGAAAATTTCTTGAAGGCTTTTTTTGTTGGTCAAAAAATTTTCTGAGACGTCATTAGCATTATTGATATTTATAAGTACTTGATTAGAAGTGATAACTAGAGTTATTTCACCTGTCAAAACTTCTTTGCCCTTTCCTTTATTAAGTGAAAAAGGGTTAACGTTCATAATAACTAAAGTTTCTTTATTGTTGTTGTTAGTGAAAACATTACTTTCAGGTTCAGTAATTTGTAAAGTATTCTGTCTTTTACTTGATTGTTGCTCTAGAGTGCTAGAATGAGAGTGAGGTTGTTGTTTTTGTTAGTTTTTATTGTTCTCTTTCTTTAGTTTGCCTATATTTTTTTATTGTTTAAAATTTTTTTTTTTTTTTTTTTTTAAAGTGCGGTAGTTTCGCATAATCTTTATTAAATTCAAAGTATATAGATACAATAAAAGAAAAATATACAAATTTAAGAAGATACAAAAATCTCTATCTAGAAACTAAATTAAGACCGACCCTGCACTTTTCCAGAATCTAATTCTAACCTAAGCTAA